GACGAAGATCGATAGTTCCACTAAAGAACGACAGTGTAAAAATTGAGCGAAGGGCCAAAAATACGACAATGCTAATCAAACGCGCCCTCTTTTACCGAACTCATACATTGATTGATGAGGGGATTTGAAAAATGTCCACCGTCGCGCACTGGGCTGGTATAATTATAGAAACTCAAACTCCCACCGCGGGTTGTCAAATTTCGTCTGCATCTTGGTTATGATTCGTTTTGTTGAGGTTTTGTTTTGTTTTGTTTTGGTGTTGGAGTTGTTGTTGCAATTCGTCGGAGGAAAGAAACCTAGAAAGTTCCTACAAGGTGAAGATTTCAATGGTGTTTCAATGGCGATGTACCTGCTCGCTTGGCAGATAGAAATTGATGTACATTGCCACAGAAAACCACCAAGTAAATATGCCTTTCTATTATTCCGTGGGTAGTAGGCATCACAATGTTTACTTTAGTTTCTAGTTTAAGGATAACGATGGAGAATCCGAACATGGATCCAGAGGGGGCATCCGAAGATGGATCCAAGGGTAGAATTCGCAGACAGATACTGATGAATCTTGATAGTCGATTCACGTTTCAAAGTTATGCCCGTCAGGGTGTAGTCATGGTGAAGAAGCGAACGCTTCCGACCAAAGAAAATTACAGAGCATTTCGAGACATTCAGTGACATGCGATTAATACGACAAGACTCAGCGAAGACTTGCAATTGTTGCTGCAAAAAAATTACATCACGAGGTTTTTTTTTATCACGAAGTAGAGTTTCAGGTCGTCCGCATACGATAGTTTAAGGCATTTCAGGATGGTATTGACGTCATTCATGTACAGCAGGAACAGAAATGGCCCAAGCTACCTTGGGGAGCACCGGATGTCACGGGGAAGGATGAAGGAGCGATAGACAACTGGCCATGCAGCGATGATCGATTATGAAATGACGAACTAGAACCAAGCGATGTATCAACGGATGAATTGTCAAGAGCGGGATCATACTTGCCATAAATGACGGGTTGGAAGACCCTGTCACCAGGCTCATTGCAAGCGCGGTGAAAGTTGCGTTTCGTTTCAGAGGTTCGATGCCGACGAAGTTTACGCTGGCAGGAGAGAAGAACTCCAAACAGAAGATACAGGAGGTTTTCGTCTTGGAGTGTTATCAGTGAGCCAGTTGCGAATTAAGTTGCAAAATTATGCTGCCATATCGGTAATGTCATTTGTTGCCAGAATACTGTTCCAATCTCCGTTTAACAGGAACTCGTTGAGCATGACGGAATCGATTTTTGAGTAGTCAAGCGGTTGTCGACCAGCATCAAGAGATTCCACATGGACATCATAATCTGATTGAGTCGGTAAGGAGAATAGAAGTGAACGATGATGCTAGTGAATGACAACAACTTCAAGCATGTTAACTCAAAGTTAAGTTGGTGCACGGAGATGTCGACATGGGTGAATGGAACTCAATATTAGCTACCGTAAGTGGGGGTGACATTGAGTAATAAAAAAAATCGTTCCCATTTACATTTTAGCAAGGTAAGAATTTTAAGCATATGACTATATTCATCAATGATATATTTAAAGTCTGGAACGCGCAAAAATTGGTCATCTTCAAATTGGTGTATTTCTGTTAAAATGCATAAAAAAACCTAAAATGCTGCATTTGGAAGTTGAGTGTACAATGTACAATGTACAAAGTACAATGGTTGCTATGATGAGTATTCACCGTTTGCTCTCCAGTTTTCAAAATGAAGTCCAAGCAAGAGGAACAGCATTTTGCTCGCGCAGCAAGAGAATCCAACGTTCTCAAATCGACCGTGACAAACATTTTAAAAGTGTTCGGGGAGCGCCTGTCGACCACCAGGAAGCCTGGAAGCGGCGGCAATCGTAATCCGGACGTGGCAGCGACGACGAAGAAGGTGGCGGTGAAATATAAGCGGAATCCTAACCTCTTCATCCGGGACGTCACTGGCAAGCTCAATGTCACCCATAATACTGTGCAGCGGGCCAAGAAACGAGCCGGGTTGTCGACGTTTAAGAAGGTGAAGGTGGCGAACCGAGATTGCAAACAAAACACGTCGACAAAGCAGCGGTTCCGAAAGCTGTATACGAATCTGCTCACAAAGTTCGACTGTGTCGTCATGGACGACGAAACTTATGTGAAGGTGGATTTCAAGCAGCTTCCGGGACAGGAGTTTTATACCGCATCAGGAAAAAGGGAAGGTGGCTGAAATTTTCAAAACCATCAAACTATCGAAGTTTTCGAAAAAAAATCTCGTCTGGCAGGCCATATGCCCGTGTGGAATTTTCATTACTACGGAAACCATCAATCAAGAGATCTACGCCCAGAAGTGCCTGGAAAAGTGGCTGCTACCATTCCCAAAGCAACATAATAGACCTGTCTGTCTGTCTGTCTGTCTGTCTGTCTGTCTGTCTGTCTGTCTGTCTGTCTGTCTGTCTGTCTGTCTGTCTGTCTGTCTGTCTGTCTGTCTGTCTGTCTGTCTGTCTGTCTGTCTGTCTGCCTGTCTGTCTGTCTGTCTGTCTGTCTGTCTGTCTGTCTGTCTGTCTGTCTGTCTGTCTGTCTGTCTGTCTGTCTGTCTGTCTGTCTGTCTGTCTGTCTGTCTGTCTGTCTGTCTGTCTGTCTGTCTGTCTGTCTGTCTGTCTGTCTGTCTGTCTGTCTGTCTGTCTGTCTGTCTGTCTGTCTGTCTGTCTGTCTGTCTGTCTGTCTGTCTGTCTGTCTGTCTGTCTGTCTGTCTGTCTGTCTGTCTGTCTGTCTGTCTGTCTGTCTGTCTGTCTGTCTGTCTGTCTGTCTGTCTGTCTGTCTGTCTGTCTGTCTGTCTGTCTGTCTGTCTGTCTGTCTGTCTGTCTGTCTGTCTGTCTGTCTGTCTGTCTGTCTGTCTGTCTGTCTGTCTGTCTGTCTGTCTGTCTGTCTGTCGAGGCATAAATAGTAAGAAGGACCAAAATGTGTTGAAAAATCCTGATCCCCTAGTTTGATGTTGTGAAGACTAGGGTTCGGTGGTAGATCTTTTGCCAATAACGCACCAAAGGTTACTGGTAAGACCACAGACAAACAGACATAACACATTGAGTATTTCTCACTGTAAAACATCGTCGCTAAAACATAATCGCCATCTGTTGAGAACACTGTGGTGGGTAGTACGGCGTAACAGATGGCGGTAGTGTGTAAACGTCAAACGCAAGGGAATTGACTATGCGCGCTACAGGGGGCGATCCTACCAACTACGATACTTTTAAATTGACCGTTAAATGCTTGTTCGATGAACAAGTTGCGAGTTTTATGTCTGTTTATCTGTGCCCCGACTATCCACATAAAAGTGTATTAAACTTTTGTTTACCTGTGGACATTTCGAAACACTAAAACTAAAATAACTGGTTAATGTTATGTACACTAGAGTGATGCAAAATTTGAAATTTTCGCTCCACAATACTTAAACGATTCCAAATCGGATCCTGACTTACCTCTCAAAATTTGAACCCATTTGGTGAAAAACTGAGATGGCACAAACCATTTGAAGTTTGTATGGGAATTACTATGGTAAACCAAGAATTTTGTCCATGTCTATCTAATAATTCACCATATCGGTCTGCTTCAAAAGCTTTCAACTATACTTGTAGGAAATTTTTCCAGCTACAATTTTGCTCAAGACCACTTTTTGATTAAATGCAAAGATCGAAAGTTATCAATGGTTCAATGCGCTGATGTCTTATGATCATGCTCAACCAACTGCTCAGCAGGCAACATTGGTGTTTCTGGGGCGTTGAATAGGACACAAAAATCATGGCTACTATGTCACACTGCAAAATACAGTGTTGCCTACAGAGCAGCTGCTTGATCATGTCATAAGTTTACCAACCTCTTATATAATTAATAACTTTTTCCTGTCTCGTTTTACATAGAAACGATCTTGAGCAAAGTTGTAGCTGAGAAAATTTTCGTTAACAATGGCTATCGAACCGTTTCGCAGCTTAATATGGAAAAATACTAGAAAGCAATGAACAAAAAGTTGAGATTTCCCATAGTAATTTACATGTAAACTTCAAATGGCTTGTGCGAAGTCTGTTTCTAACCAAATAAGTTGTAACTTTGAGAGGCTAATCAGGACCCGATTTGAAACCATTTAAGCACTGTGGAGCGAAAAAGTCAAATTTTGTATCAGTACACCTTACTCCACGGAAACATATTTTATTCATCATTTTCTGTATATTCAAGATATTTGCAGCAATTAACATTTTTCAATTTTGGTCAAATGTCATTCCGTCTTACGGTACTTTTTTTCGTTCCGTGATGGACTGCGAAGAGAAAGGCATTATTTTTAGTCATTGCCTTGAACGCTTTCTTTTCTTCTGAGATTAAACTGACAGCCGACAAGTACCTACTTCCAGTGGGGTCAAGTTCAACGCATTGTTTATAGAACATCATAACACTTATTCCGTCCAATGAGCTCAAAACAGATTGCGGAGCGACTTCAAGTTTCTAGAAACAGCTGGCAAGTTTAATTCCGACCAAGTTCTAGCAATTTGAACTGACTCGATCGCAAGTGAGTTTTGTATCCCCACGCTAATCCGACATAACCTTGCGAATATTCCTTTGAGTCCGACATTTTCCGGACTTAAATAATCGTCGGACTATCGAGTGTCAAATCAGCGGGGGGAACCAATTTACAAATCAAGCCTTCCCGGTCATTAAACAGAAGACAAGTCTTATATTGTGAGCTGAAAACGAAAAACAACGATCAATTTCTCGGAAGCGCGGATTCATTAATCTGCCTACTTTCGAATCGCAGCAAACTCTAATTAATCAGCGCTCACGACCGCCGCCGTTAAATTTACCGTACAGCATCAGTTCTCTCCATTATTTCGATTACAAACACCGATCTTCCTCCTCACCCCGTGAAGAGTCGTCCGAACTGCGAACCATGGCGGTACCACATAAATCTCTTGATAAGACCGTACCCACTGACGATGCGCGACTTTAGTCAGTTCCCATACATCAGTGGAAAATGCTGCGTTTGCTTGTAGTGCTGTTTACCGCTGTCTTCGGCCTTGGGCACTGCCTATCGTTGAATGTTCCAAATAAAGGTAATCGTAACGGTGAATTATGCTTTTTTTTTGGTGAAATTCAATCAAACTTTATCCACAGTGGCAATCGAGGGATCCACCTGTCAGGCCGGTGACGTCATCGGTCAATGTGTAGGAGTACGGGAATATCCCGAATATCTCGCAATACTGCGCAAATCGATACGAACGGAGCAGGAAACGGCATTTCTGTACGCCCAGTTCTGCGGCTATACGACAAAGCGGAAACCCCTGGTGTGCCATCCGGTGCAGCTGAACGAACCGGAATGCGGGGCACAGTTTACGGATCGAATCATTAAGGGTACACTGGCCAGGCTGGACGAGTACCCGTGGATGGCGCTGTTTCAGTATAGTAAGCCTTACAATAAAACCGGTTTCCACTGCGGAGGAGTGCTGATCAACAAGCGGTTCGTCTTGTCGGCGGCCCACTGCTTCGTGGGGCTGCGATTCGGCTGGGAGGCGAGCAAGGTTCGGCTGGGTGAGTGGAGGTGGAATGTTGAGTGAATCAGTGAATGTTAGTTTTAAATGTAGAAAACAATATTTTCGGTGTTCCGGTTTGGATCATTACGGTACGGTCGTTTGAGGAAAACTAACTGGGTGGGGGGGGGGGGGGGTGGTTAGGTGACTGTGAAATACGAACAGTCGTCGCCTACCTTGCTTCACTGGTTCCAAACGACAACAAGCAACGATGGTTTGTTCATGTTTGGAACCAAATTCACATCTGAAAAATCAATGAGGCAAAGTAAATTTGTCGTCTCTTTCGTTCTCCGGCTGACTAAATGGATGACGGAGTTTGATGTTACACACCTTCAACCCTTTAAACAGCGGGAGAACGAAAGAGATGACAAATCCACTGGGTTTTACATATTTACATATTTTTGATGGATGTTCAGTAGGCCGATTTGACAGCACATCGCGCACCTGAGGAAAACAGCATCAACCCATCACTAGACAACAACGCTTCATTAAATGGAGGAAAATTGTTCAGAGCTTGAGCGTTGTTGTCCATCGCAATGTTCCAAAAAGCACAACACCAGTTCTTCTTCTTCATCCTAGCTATTGCGCATATGCAGATAAACCGATTATTATGTATTTATAGTTTTCTGGATCACTTCAGCCCCAAGATTGTGTTTACCGTGGACCTCCGGTAATCTGCACACTTTTTAATTTGAACCCCGCTAATCTGCACGCCGTGCAATCTAAAAATAGCTCAAACATCATTTAGCACACGGAATGCGAGAAAAGCGAAACGGAACGCGTAGTCAAAGCAAAACAGCAAATAAGGCTATTATATCCTGATGGTCGTAGGTTTACTAGAAGTTCAAATTAAAAATGAACTCCGATAATATGCACGAAGTGTCGTTCAGATCAAAGGGGCCCACGGTATACAGATAATACAGACTTTTAGCAAAGATATTGATTTTTCATTGAACATAAATTGTATACATTGTGAACAGAACTTCTTATCTTACCAATTGTTGTATTGTTCTCATGTTCACCCTCATAGGTGTTAACCCAGAGAGGGCAGGGAGGGGCACTGCTCCCCTAACTCAGCATCAGAATAAAATTCTTTTAGTTCAATATTCTTGACAAATGTTCAAATTTTGCAAGTCTCATAATTGATTTCTTTTTCAAGTTCTTCGAATCTCGAAATTTGCTTGAGTTATTGAAACATGAAATTTTTCGAGGCCCATTATATCGAACGTTATTGGGATGCTTTGATTTTTTTTAACAGTCTAAAACTTCGAAGAATTTTGAGAAAAATTCCAAAGAAGTTTTGAGGAAAATTGAAAAACAATTTGGATGGTAATTCCAAGAAATTATGAACAGCGCTGTCATGGTAAATTAAAAGCTGGTTACTCGCTGATTTTGCAGTGCGCTATGCTCACCTCAAATCCATGCGCCTTTGGGCATGACCTTCATCATGGGATATAAAGTTGTACCATATTCCGTTCAGCGCAAACAGTTTTATGATCTACTAAAACTAGCCTTGATAAATTAATAATTCTACACAATCTTTAAAAGTCTAGAATTGTCAGAAGTTTTCGAGGTGTCTCTGAAGCTATCCAGTAGACTGATGCAAAATTTGAAATTTTTGCTCCACAGTGCTCAAACGGTTCCAAATTGAGTCCTGATTAGCCTCTCAAAATTTAAACTCAAACTTGGCACAAACCATTTGAAGTTTATATGGGAATTACTATGGGGAAACCATAATTTCGTTTCATATCTATCTCAAAATTCACCAGTTCACTATACTTTAAAAAATGATAGCTGATCTTGTTGAAAATTTTCTCAGCTACAACTTTGTTCAAGACCACTTTTCGATCAAATGTAAGGAACAAAAATTATCAATAATTCAAGTCACTGATGTCTTATGATTATGTTCAATCAACTGCTCAGCAAGCAACAATGGTGTTTATGGTGCGTAGAATAGAGGACACAAATCATGGCTACTATGTCACACTGCAGAATACAGTGTTGCCCACAATACAGTTGCTTAATCTTGTCATAAGATTATCAATCTCTTAAACAATTAATAACTATTTAATTTTACGTTTGGCTGAAAAATGATTTTCCGCTAAGTTGTAGCTGATAAAAATTCTCATAAGAATAGCAATGGAATTTGTAAACAGTACAATATGTAAAAAGAGTAGACGACAATGAACAAAAAGTTTTGTTTTCCCATAGTAATTTCCATATAAACTTCATATGGTTTGTGCCAAGTCAGTTTCTTATCAAATAAGTTTTAACATTCGGAGGCTAATCAGGACCCGATTTGGAACCGTTTGAACACTGCCCAACTAACATTTTCAGCTTTATAAACCAACTTTTCCAGCATTGTGCTGTAAAGTAGCTGAAAATAAGCTCCAGAAACAGCTAGAATCAGAAGCTAGCAGAATAGTTTTAGAGAGCGTTTACTCAACTTTTTCACAACCATTATTCAATTTGTCAAACGCACTGAATAACAGCAGCCAATAAACGCTAATGTCACTTCTACGCAAACATTAGTCAACTTTCAACTTGTAGCTGCAAAACAAAGCCAAGTGAATATATTATTCATTTGATGGCTTCTACACAACCAACCACTCTGGCTGAGTAACATTAACATCAAAAGTCCCTTTTCAACAACTAAACAACGTGTACTCAGTTAAAAAACTGTGTTAGCGCTACTTTGGAAGCATTTTTACAGTCAACTAAGTTTATTTTTAGACGTGTGCGGTTTCACAGCACACAGTTTCACAGAGTAAAAGCTCTTTTACAGAGCTGAATTAACTAGTCGAGAAAAGTTATTCATGTGCACTATTATAAAGCCCCTACTCAGCGATCTTGTTGAAGAAGGACATGTAGATTTGTTTGCATCAGTTCAAAGTGTTGGCGTAGCTAAGTTAGTAGTGTCAAGGATTGGCAATGCGGTCGTCTCGAGTTCGATTCCAGGTTTCCGATACAGAATAAATAAATTTGGAGGTGTTCTTATAACTAATTTCGATTAATTTGATTCGCAGTAAAATAAACTTAATAAAATTCTCCAACAGAAAAAGCGTTAAACGATATTTAACCCGGCTTCCAGATAAAGCTGTGTAGTTATTATTGGATAACCAGGAAAAGGTTGAATAAGCGCCTTTCAAGTTCACACACAACTAAACAGCAGGATTATAGCTGTATAGAAGCGTAAATGGATATGCAATAAGAGCTTGTTCCAACCGTCCCAACAGCCATAAGTAGCTGACTAAATTCGCCAGATTTGCTTGTATAGAGATTGAGTAAAGGTTTCATCATATCGTATAACATTTGAATACAGCTTAAGGCTGTATAAATGAAATGAGTAAAGCGTTTATATTGCGAAAATTGTTAGTTGGGTGTGGAGCGAAAATTTCAAATTTTGCATCAGTCTACTATCCAGGGTAGAGGGGAATAGCAATACCAGTACGAAACGACAGAAGAAAATGAAAACAATGCCTATGCATTTCAAGTTCGTCTCGGCAGGCGCGACTGTGTGAGTTACAAACAAAGCAGGCAAAATTAAACGGAAGCTGTTGGGCTCACTCACCAACACACTCATATAAGCAAGCAAAGCAGCAACTGCTTCAAAACGAGCACAGATGAGTGTTGTGATTATCGGGAATGACCAGATCGGTGATTGATCACAACCGAAGACGACATTCATCAGTTCAGTGCCAACATTTCAAAGGGGCGTAATTGCTTTTGTAAACAATGGCTTTAGCCGTCGATTTCTCGCAACTTAAAGCTCGCTTCTCCAAATTAACAATGCTAGCTAGTAGAGGAAACATTACTCTACCTGTTAGTGTCATTATTTTTCATGAGTGAGCTTTTATTCGCGAGAAATCGACGGCTAAAGCCATTGTTTACAAATGCAATGACGCCTCTTTGAAATGTTGCCACTGAGTTGCTTTTTACTTCTTTCGTCAACTTGATGGATAGTCATGGAGAGAGCTTCGACGAGCACATTGATAGGAATGTACAAAGCGTTACTACCAACAGCTCTTTGACGATCGTGATTGTGATAGGTTGCAACTCTGATTGTGATATTTATTTGCTATGATTTTTGCTATTCTTTAGATATGGCAACAACTGACTTTGCATAAATGACGTAGCATTTTAGGGTGACCTGGGTGCAGAAAAAAATAAGCTACAAGGGAGAGAGAGACAAAATTGGTGCTTCATGAAACGTAAACAAATGTTAAACGTTTGATGAAGCACCATCTTTGGACCCCCTCCTCCTTGTAGAATATTTTTATATATGGCTGGGGTATTTGACAGCATTTCCCAGTTTTCCTGTAACCGGAAGCCGCCATCTTGGATTTCAAAGTAACGTCAGACATGGATTTCCAGTGACCCCGATTCCAAAAATACTCATACTGGGGGGTATTTCAGGCGTAACATTTGATAACGGCACAAAAGCTTTTGTAAACAAAACTTGTAAGGCCCCTTACACGCGAACCGAAGAACTGCCCCCCCCCCTCCCCCCATATGAGTATTTTTGGAATCGGGGTGACTGAAAATCCATGGCTGACGTTACTTTGAAATCCAAGATGGCGGCTTCTGGTTACAGAAAAACTGGGAAATGCTGTCAAATACCCCAGCCACATATAAACATACTCTACAAGGGGGGGGGGGTCCAAAGATTGTGCTTCATCAAACGTTAAACATATGTTTACGTTTCATGAAGCACCAACTTTGTCTCTCTCCCCCTTGTAGCGTATTTTTTCTACACCTGGTTGAAAATTTCTGGACTTATGTTATGTTTCCAAATTACGTACGAAGTGTCCTAAATTTCTCAGATGCTCTCTGGGCTTAAGTTTCTCGAAACTTTCCTAGAAGTCATGGATCTTTCCTGAATTTATAGAAATTATCCTCTACAGATCTTTAAACTTCCCCAAAAGTATGGGCTATGTTTAGTGGTAACTAACATAGAACTTACGATTTCTTTTAGTGTACGGACTAAGAAGTATATCAGTT